AGCTGAACAGCCGCACAGTGATAAAAGATTCCGCTGGATCATCATGAGAAATGTATTTTAAATAACCTTTTAACCTTTGCATCGATTTCGTTAATTTTTTCATCAAGTTGTAGGTAATTTAATTATCATCATTATCGATTGCCGAAAAAATTGAAAATGTTTGTTGTTATACAGGGTGTAACTAAAAGGTGCATTTTGCCCTAAATTTCTAAACACCTTTCGGAAAGATTGGATTACTGAATAATGAAAATTTGTAGCCTCAACTTTTTTTGCCAATATCTCAATTATAGAAGAATATATGCCGTTTTGAAGAAAATCATGCGAATCATAACCATAAACAAGAAATTGTTTCAAGCAGGCTTTGCCGGGTAAGAAATTGTTTTAAGTAGGCTGTGTCTGATAGCATATCTTTGACATGTCAAAAGATTCTTGTCAAGAAATACTCAACAAAAATTGACACCGGAACAAGTAGCGCAAGCTGTAGCTTTGCAAAGTGATGGTCATCCTATTCGGTATATCGCAGAGAGGCTTGTCGTTCCACGCAGTACGGTATCCGATGCGATACAAAGATTTAGAGAAACTGGTTCTTACACAAGAAGACCTGGGCAGGGAAGACGGGGAGCAACAAACCCAGTTGAAGTTCGGTTTCTGAGACTTCAAGCTCTTCGAGAGAGAGTGTGGAGAAGGCGTGGAGAATGCTATGCTCAAAGTTGTTTCGCTCCTTGAGTGCAATTTGGTGGTGGAGGAGTGATGGTATGGGGCGGTATTTCTCTGGAATCCCGCACAGATCTTGTTTCGGTACGAGGAGGACACCTCACTACCGACTGGTTTATCAGAGTGTTTGGAAGAACATGCGGTACCTCATATGCTCTTTATAGGAGAACACTTTCTCCTAATCCAAGATAATGCTCGGTCGCATATAGCCAGAATGACTAAGCAATACCTCAAAGATGTTGGAACTCAAGTACTAGACTGGCCGCCAAGGAGTCCGAATCTCGACCCCATTTACCAATGTCTACTTATAGTTTTCGTAGAAACACTGACAATTCCTTTTGTCTCGATTTCGGCTTTTATTTGTCTTCGGAACTTTGGACGAAATTACTTTTAATAATCTAACTGATCTAGCATTCAGTTTTCTAGACCGACCACTTCTCTTATAGGCTTCCAAGATACCTTTTTGTTTATATTTGTTCAATATTGCCCAAACTGCTTTACGCTTCAGCTTCAAATTTTTGGCAATGTCGACTTGACGTTGACCATCTTTGTATACCTCAATGATTTAATTTTCACATTGAAAGAAATTTCTGGACCACGCAGCATGGTCTCAAAATCACTCAACTTATTCCACAATACTTGGTGAACGCAAAATAATCCTCGTCTGACACGAAACTGTACTAAACTAATGTTGAACAGAATTTGTCTACATATTTTGGTCCCTCATAAAAAAGTGCTTACATTCAGACTTGAATTGTGTTCATTGCAGATAATGTAAAAACAAGGAATTTAGTTTTTCTACTAATAACGCATTTGTTTATGGAGCAATGAAGTATGAATTCGTTTTCTAAAGGTATTTAGGTAAATATTCATATTTGTCTATATACTTTTGTCCATTACTGTAAGTCTCTTGAGCTCGATAGTGTCCATAATATGGCGAATGCCTTTTCGTTGAAAATTCAGTACACTGCACATCCCACCAGCCAGAGAAGTAAGAAGTAAATTAGAGTATTTTTAATGCGCGCATATCCATAGCTTCTGGAGTGCATCCTAGCTACGTCACGCAACTCTGGATTAAACTCATCCCACAATGTTAGCACTGGATCGGGGGGATTCAGAGTGACAAGCCACTTTCTCTCGGTGAGCTAGAGAAGCGAAGACTAGCAGCCTCACAGCGACTTTCTCTCAGACGAGAGATCTGGAGATTATCACTGCTTGGAGAATAATACGTTTAGTTTATTTTAAAGTAATTTTTAACCTTACTTGATGCGTTAAAAAATGGCTATAACACTATTATCAGCGTATATTGTTGACGTTCATAATAATATGGCTTGAGCGACTGCCTATTTCTGGTGATTAGCAGTATTATTAGTACTTGGAATGTACAATAACGCATTCCTATTGAATTCAATGGTCGATTGTGAACCAACCTGGTGAACATGAGTGCACGCTGATAGACATGGCTATTCTCTAAAGCGATTTCATAGCTAGGCCAAAAGCCCTGCCAACATTATGGAGATATAATAGAATTTAATACGCATTGAACACACGTACGCGTTCGGTCAGATCAACTAACCAAACATTGTTGCTGAAAATCGAGTTTTACAGTAAAATTATATACCTCAGTCTGAATGTAAAAAGCCCACAACTAGCAAACAAAGTCTTTTTTGCAGACATCAAAGTTGAATCTTCGTACACAACTTTTTTTATACAAAATCATATAGAAGGGGTCAATTTCTACCCGGACACCCTGTAGATCATAAAAGCAAATTATAATACGCTTTTTGGGTCGCTGAAACCGAATCCATGGCCCATTCAGTCCGAAAATGCCTCGTTTTCAAGATACCGGCAAGAATTCAACTTTGTCAAAAAACGACTAATAAAAAATTTCTAAAAACCCTTGCGCGTCTATGATCGAGATGGAAACTTGCTTTTTGAGTAAATCGGGTGCGTAGATTCCAAATTCTATGTCGATACATTGCAAGAATTTACAGTCCGAAATTTTTTTGTATATCTCGAATAGAAGCCTTAATACAGGGTGATCCACAAGTCGTGACCAAAAATTTAATATCATACACAAGACCGCATTTAGAGGGGGGTCTTCTATGTAACATTTTTTCCTCAAGAGCTTCATTAAAAAGATATGGGGAGTTGAAGTTTGAAGTTTAAAAATCCGCATATCAAATTCTAGTTCATTCCGGTTGACGGTTTTAAATGCGGTCCTGTGTATGATGTTTCATTTTTGGTCACGACTTGTGAATCACCCTGTATAATCCCGTTGTAACGGGTGATTTTTTAAGAAGTATAGGATTTGATTTTCAAAAATACACAAAAAATTTGCCCATGCGCAAAGTCCAATTTTGGCACACTCTCTCCAACATATCGGCCGGTATCTCATGAATAAATGCTTCAATATTGGCTTCCAGTGCTGGTTTATCCCTGTAGACATTAGCCTTAACATGGCCCCACAAGAAATAGTCCAACGGCGTTAAATCACACGATCTAGGTGGCCAATTGACGGGCCCCAAACGTGAGATAAACTGTTCACCGAACTCGCCTCTCAATAGGGCCATTCTTTCGTGTGCGGTGTGGCATGTGGCACCGTCTTGTTGAAACCACATGTCAGCCAAGTCCAGCTCTTCCATTTTGGGCAAAAAAAAGTTTGTTATCATCGCACGGTAGCGCTCGCCATTCACAGTTACGTTCCGGCCATTGTCGTCTTTGAAGAAGTACGGCCCGATGATGCCACCGGCCCATAATCCACACTAAACAGTGATTTTTTCGGGATGCATTGGTAGCTCTTGCAATGCTTCTGGCTGGTCTTCACTCCAGATGCGGCAATTTTGCTTGTTAACGTACCCATTCAACCAGAAATGAGCTTCGTCGCTGAACACAATTTTTCGATAAAAATGCGGATCTTCCTAGAACTTTGCCAGCGCCCATCCACCAAATTGGAGGTCGTGTGGCTTCAATTCTTGCATCAGCTATATCTTATAAGGTTTTACACCCAAATCCTGTCGCAAAATTTTCCACGTAGTGGAGTAACAGAGGCCCAATTGCTGCGAACGGCGGCGAATCGACATTTCACGGTCATCACTAACACTGGCGGATACAGCCGCAATATTTTCTTCAGTCCTCACTCTACGTCTGCTGGTTGGTGGTTCAATGTCCAATAATGTAAACTGGGTTCGAAATTTAGTCACAAGCTTCCGAATAGCTCCCTCAGTAGGCCGACCAAATTGCCCATAAATTGGAAGCAGTGCTCGATGCACTCTCTTAACCGAGCATGAATTTTGATAGTAAAATTCAATAATTTGCAAGCGTTGTTCGTTCGTAAGTCGATTCATGGTTAAATTATAGACCAAACTGAACAAGTTTGACAATGGCACAAGACACGATTCACGCGTCATCTGTCAAAAACAGTGTTGCCAAAAAGATACTAGCAAAAAAATCACCCATTATAATCGCTTATTACAGTTTTTCGGGAACAGGGTCGTTTTTTGCTAGTCAGCTTGGCCTATTAGGCTGAATAAGGCACATGAGCAAGAATGACGCCTTCCGCAATTATTTCTGTTCCATATATCACAGCTAAGTGAGTGTAATTATTTGCGTATTCCGTTTTGTGCCTCCAACTCCATCGTAGAAAAGGGTACGCGGGGGTGGATTTTGGGAAGGATCGACGAGAACGCAAACCACCGGGTATGGTTGCCTCCTTCCCCCGAATTTCTGAAAGGAAATAACGGCAGTGACCAGTGACTGACGCATTTCTATCGAGAGCACAAACTATGAGCTACGAAGAGAAAATTGTAGTCAAGTAGATTGACTTAGTCTCTCTGTCATAAGTCTCTATGTTTTTATTTGCCACTTCAGTGCACTTAAATAGCTGAAATGTTGGGGTACATCTGCACCATACTTGGTACTTAATGTGAATTTTTGAGCACGAGCCACGCAATCCAATCGGAAAAATAATACACTCGTTAACAGAGTATATTGGAAGGATAAGGTATTAAGAGAACAGCGATGTATTCAATGATATAAAACTATGTGATGCAATGGTTAATTGAATTGCGAAACATACATGAATAATTTAATTTTTTGGCGGAAAACTGATATTGTTTGTGTGATTGTGGTATTGAATTATAAATGCTAGAAGCGCTATACGCATATAACGTGGGTTTTCAAACCCACGTTTGATTACCATTGCAGTATGCTGTGGTATCATCAATTTTGTCTCTGAGAGTTCTGTGATGTATCTGGTTATTGTTCTAAAACAGTGGTCGCCACCCCGTCGATCGCGAGCTATCGGTCGCTCGCAAAGGTCATTCTAATTGCTCACAACATACTTTAAAAAGGTGTACAAATCATAGAAGCTTCCGTAAATTTTGTAAATTCTCATAATAAACACAAGCAGCGGCGATACTGCGGTGAGCGATCTGTTTCGAGAACGATCTGGATTACTTTGAACGGAATAAATACGCAAGGCGCAGGCAGTGCGCTCAGCACAAAGTGCAGCGGTTGGGCTATACTCGTAGTTGGCTTGTAATTGAAAACATTATGAGCAGTACTGAGAAGATGAAGACATACCATACCAAATATCATGTAGAAATAGTCGCTAGCTTGAAGGATAACTTCCAAAATCGTTTTAAGGATATCAACGAAATTGATATAGTGGCGTAATTTGTTGTTTCGCCCTTCATTGAAATTGATATCCAACAGTTTGCAACTTCCGTTATGCAGAATTTTAGCGAAGACATCGCTGCGACAGAAATGGATGTGATTGCGTTTCAAAATGATTTAGCTTTAAAATCATTATGTATATGGTTTGCAGATACATCAAACTTACGTAGCCTAAGCGGGTACAATTGTTTTGGATGATTTGGATTGTATTTCAAGTTCTTCTTCTTCCTACTTTATTAATAGGCTCATGCCTGTTTTACTTCGGTTTTTAGCCTCAATTGATGTTGTCTGATCATCTTTTCCTTGGTCGTCCCACTGATCTTTTTCCATTTGGCGATTTGTCTCTTGCTATTCGTACTGTTCTATTTTTTCTGTCATTCTTTCTATGTGTTGATTCCATTCTATTTTTCTTCTTTTGGTCCACAGGTTTATTTCCTCTATACCACATCTCGCTCGTATTGCCTCACTTATTACTCTGTCTCTTAGAGTTTGGTTTGTTATTTTTCGTAAGACTTTCATTTCTGCTGTTTCCAATAATCTTTGTGTTTTCGCCGTATCTGCTCTTGTTTCCGCTGTATACGTCATTATCGGTCTTATTGTTGATTTAAATATCCTTCCATGGTCTAAAGAAGAGAAACATAATACAGGGTCATTTATTTTAACAGTGAGTAGATCTGATCAAAACAAATGTTTTTTCCTTTAACATTTTTTTGGTAAAATTAAAGTAACAAAGTTATAGGCCTTAAGAAGTTTGAGTGCCGCCCTGTCTCAATCATAATATTATGTGCTCGTGTTTGGCAACAACGGATATAATCCGCCTTATCGGTTCATCGCATCGGAAACAAAAAAGCGAAAGAATTTGAAACGCTTATCACGAATGTTTTTACTGCAATTTTATTCAGTTGTATTCAGTCAATGTGTCAGTCGGTAACGCGTGAGTGAATAGTGGTGTTTGTTGCGTGGCTCAAACGAAATAAAAAATGTCATTACAAAATGCTGCCGCGGCATCACTGATTTATGCGGATCGGTTTCCCAATCGAGTGCAACCAACCCCTCGTGCCTTTGTTAATGTAGTACAAAGGGCTCGTGAATCAGGTGACTTAAGACCTCACAGGGGAGGGCATGCCGGTGCTCCAAGACCGCACGATCAAATACAGGTCCGCACTGAAATACTTGTCGGGAGGATACTTTATAAAACAAGGTAACATTTTTTTTTATTTTTACACACATATTTTGGTTTATCTTCCTTCTACAATCATTATCTGAAAATTAATGACTCAACTTCAGTCACCCTGTATATGGCGATAATTTAATATAGATATGAATTTTCACAAGATTCACAGAACGGTTCGAATCTATACGCAAGTCCAACTCTTTTGCTTGAATTGTACATCCCTAGTAACTCCAGTGCCTTGTCGTAGTGGAACGGGTAGGGGCGTATGGTGTGCGTGGGGTCGAAGGGGCGAGGGGAAAAGGAGACGGAAAACAGAAGGGGCGGGACGCGGGAGATGCCAGAAAACGAGACCAGAGGGCAGGGGACAGCGGCACTCAATATACCAGGATGAATCAATTCATTTCCTCAAGGAACTTAATTAAACGGTTGAAGATACGAAGTCGGTTAAGTGGGGGCCAAGGTACTGTTTGCTTTCCGTCTGTATTATTATGACCAACCGCAGACAGTGCTGTTTCATGCTCATTAGAGCGGTATACTGCCGTACACCGCAGTGAATCTCTTTTTTTGAATTTTTTTCGTCAACACATCTCCTTTATGATTGAAATTACAAAATATATCATCGATCACCTTATTTAACGAAAATATGTATTTTTTACTTTATCAAATATTTCATATTGATTACATTTCCTATCACTTTACTTATTTAGCTTTTTCTATAATAATTCTATTGATTGTGAATAATATTTATCGTTTTACTTTTGCTTCGAAAGAATAGCTGTGAGAGTATTCTTCGTTCTAAATAACTGGCCTAGCTTTTTCCCAGGAGCTGCCGCTATTGACGAGATGTGTTCATGTCAGATCAAGTCCTCCGTGATCTGCACTCCGATCAGCCGAAATGAACGGCTCTTTGGCAAAACTCGGCCATCCATGTTAAGGCACAGGCATTGTGTTTTGGAAGCAATAAATTGTTCAAGATTGTTGCATCTCCTAGCAGTGATAACGTCCAGGTCTCTCGTCAGGGAGAAAGCTCTTCTTTCCTCCAGCTCACCAGCAGACATCAGGTTGATATGTCAGCGGAGCAATGTCGGAGCCAAGAATGACACCTGGTGAACACCCACGTTGACGTTGTGGGATGGAGAGGAGAACCCGTCAATTGCATCTTCAGAGCTTCTCACCACTGACCTAACGCTTTCGTGATATCAAGAGCAATGGCATGAGCCTCACCGTAAGTCTGGCACGTAAACGATGGAAGGCTACTCTTCGAGAAGTATCCTCCAATCTGCTGGGCCAGTGTCGAGAAGGACCGACTGCGATCGTTTGCATGTGAACTAGCCTGGTAAAGCATTCGCCATCCGTCTTTGGTGTGCTCCTTACGTTCTGCGCCCTAAAGCGTCAGAACGGCATCGGCAGCTCCTAGCCTGTGCCTCGGCATGGACGAGCTGGCCAACCTGGTTCTCGTTCCCTCCAGCATCCGCAGACTGTGAGTATTGAACCGATAGCGCGAACACTTGAACGGAGCAGCTAGCTGTTGCATTTCATTCACAAGTTCTGGAGGGCGGGAGCCAAACGAGAACCCTCCGTCTGGCCTCTGATGCAGCCTACCACCGAAAACACCTCGCCGGCAGTTTAGGTGTTATAGATCAGGCTAACTAGCGAAAAAATATAGAGAAATATGGCATCAAGTAGGTTGACTCTACACTTCCTACGCAACTTATATCCTCTGAGAAAACAGCCAGTTACCAAGATGTACAACAGAGGAATTACAAGGATCAAGATCTGGCAACGCTGTCCCTTTCCACATCTCCGTGTGTATATGTTTTTTGTGCTGCAGGACGGTGAGCTTAGACAGCGGGATTACGCGGATCGGAAACATTTCTCTATCAGTCAAGTTCTAAAGGCAAATATAAGGGGAAATCTGTGATGTGTATTTTATAAACTCTAACTACAGCTACCATGGCTACTAAGTGCTCTCTTAAACTTAGTTAATAACATTTATCAACAATCTCACTCACTTTTGTAAGTGATTTAAGATCAGTTATACACATGTATTTGCTATATTTCAAATGTTTTGTAGCTCCTGCTGATGATGACAAAGTTCATCGAAAGCTAGAGAATAAGGTCTAATTTGTTGATGTCCCCAAATAAGGCTGAACCTTTTTTTCACCTTACTGGTTATTTAGACGACAATGATCACGGCTCATATATATCTATATGTAACAAATAAAATAATAATGGGCAAATGCCGCAAAAAGAAGGAAAGTGAATTCGTGCAGAAAATAGGATAGGTAACCCGAGCGATATGGATTTCTGCTTGTTGGCTTCATCATGCCAACCCCTACAAACAAAATTCTGGAAATGGTTAGGAGCCAGTGGCGTTGGAAGTAAAAGATATTTTTTGTTGGGAAGTAACGCTGCACCTTTCTGACCTTTTTTAATTAACGACCCGGGAGTTTTATTGGGTCAGAGAAACTTTTTTTATGAATGTAGATTGTATCATAATCTAGAATATGAGCATTTTTTAATGTTCAACATAGCACTAGCTTTTGGATCCCGTCGCCAATAAACGATACCGCCTGACCGTTAAACCAATCAGTAACTGTTTCTTTCAACACGACTTCATTTTTCAAGCACCTTCCACCAAGAAAATCCTTAAGTGTTGGAAAAAGATGAAAGTCTGATGGTGCTAAGTCGGGGTCGTATGATGGATGATCCAGTAATTTCTAAAGAAACTTGTCCAGTTGGGTCTGTGTTCTTGTCGCAACGTGAGACCGAGCGTTGTCGTGAAGCGCCTAATTCAACAAGCTGCCGGTGAATTTCAACACTAGTAATCTTTTGTGTTTAAAAACGGAGCGCACCACACAACCAACGCCGACAGTGACGTGATAAATTTTGATTTCAAAATCCGCAAAACTTTTCCTCTAGCCCAATACAAGTTTGGGGCTTTTTGCTTAGTTTTCCTGGAGTATATCCGGTGGGAGTCCTCTAACTTCCGTTATTGATTGATTAGACTGAACTATCGATTCGCCTACTACAGGAAGTACGTGTCATGGTTTAATGGAAGTTCCAGTTCACAAAGGCGTCGCATGTTTCTTATGAGAATGCGTCTTCGAGAAATCTGATAGTCTGTTCATTCCACTTCCCACGCGATAACTAGGAAAACTGAAGCGGAATGTTCATTACAAAAATCACCTAAAAGCACCAATCAAAAGGTGTCAGCGGTTTTTTGAGAACAATGTCTGTATTTAAGAAGAAAAGGAAAAATATTCTATAGGGTGTAAACTTTAGGATAGTCATTATTTAAATGGGTGGGAAATCTGATAACGCCGCAGTGCCAGACGCAGTTTACGGCGGAACGGAGTGTAAATAAAGATGGAGTTTCTTATTTTTGGCTCTTAGGTATTATTTCATTATTTGATGATGTACTCGTAAAATGCAAACAATTAAAAAAAAACGGACTTACCACTAACTGTCTCAGCGCGTCATCTGGTGTGTGAAAGTTTATTGAAATCCACTTATACATAAGGAACACAATTTTGATACATACATTGTTTTTCTTTTTAAAACCCACTTTTTTTGTATTTAAAGAAGGTGTTCAAAATGTCGTCCTCCACTTTCCGCACAAGCTTCATTACGACGAACCCAGTTTCTTCTTACTCTAGGTCCTCGAAGTTTCCCATTCATTATTTCAGCCGCATTAAAATTTTGCTTGCTTGCTTGAGTTGTTGTTGGACCAGCTGCATAAATCATCCCTTTAAGTTCCCCCAATACCAGAAATCCATCGGATTGAGGTCAGGAGATCTTGCTGGCCATTTTCGAGGATCAAGAGCATTTGGACCGATCCAGCGATTTGGATAATGTTCGTTCAAATACTGAATGACGCCTCTAAAAATGTGTGGTGGTGCCCCGTCATGAAGAAACCACAAATTCTTTCTCTGTTGTCTAA